TTGGCGAGGACATGACACATACCAAAAAACGTGAAGATAATTAAGTTACTTTTACTTGCAGCCTCCTCTTTGCAACGGGTGCGTGTCTACCTCGTTGGAAGTAAGAATGCTCGTGGCATTCTATAGAAGCTCGTGAGGATGCTGAGAGGCAGAAGCCGGGAAGAAAAGGCAACTGAAAGAGAGAGATGGTCGCCAATTGACGTTGGAGATTCTAACAAACATTCTAACAAACTTGGAGGGACTTTCCACTTATTTTATTTGCGTGAGTACGATTTATTATATTGAGTGGCTTGCTTTTACCGAAGCATTTTATTTTCAGCATGATTACCTTGATCGTAACGAAGTGTTCCATATTAAGGAATTTGTGGAGGGCGGTGTTTGCAGCGGCACGACGTTCGAGCTCGAGGTCGGCTTTCTGTGGGAATGGAGATGTCATGCCCTTGCTCACGTCCTCGCCGAAAGGTGAAACTACCTACGAGAAAGCCGCCGCCAGCCGGGAACGAGAGATCCAGTCAAGTCCAGCCTTGGACTCCTTCGTCTAACTTCTTCCCCTTTCCCGTATCTTAATATGTAATGAATAAATATGTGTATGGCTATTCTATGTACCTTACATACCCTACCGCTACACACCCTTCGGATTAGAGGCGTCATTAACCTTCTAATCTGATACAACACATCCGCTTTACATACTGTGACCTCAGGTTTGGTTATTTTCCTGGCTGTTAACTGTCATACATTTCATATGCTCAGCCTTTTGTCAATGCCATGTTTGAAATAATTGATCAAATTATGTCTGTACCTTGCGTTATGGAATAAGGTCAAGGATCTCGTTGGATAACTCCCGTTACAAAATTTGATTTTTTAAAAATGAAAAGCAGCGGAGAAATATGTGGTGGAAATATGATTTGCGGCATAGGCAGAGCAGGTATTCCTAATAAAATGTTATAATAAATTGTTTGGGCGGAAGTGGTGTAGTGGCAAGTGGCACGCTTACCACGCGAGCGGTCCGGGGATCAAATCCTGGGTCGTCCCGGGCCAACCAAGCCTTCCATCCCTCCGGGGTCGGTTAATTGGTACCAGACTTGTCTGGGAGGATAAAAACACTGACTTGTACATCGGCTGGCCCCCGCAAGTCATTGTATAGGCCACATCGCATTCAAACGCCACTACGAATGTACAAATGGAAGTAGAATGCGTGCCGCATCCCAAAAAGGGATTGATCAACGGCAAATGCTTTATCCTTTATGCATAATATGCTATCTCAATGTGTATATGTAAACTGACGTGAGATCCGCTGCTGTCTGCGAGGTGCGGCACAAGCCACGTAAATGACGCCTCCCTACTATTTGTTTTCGAATTGTGCAAATTATTTTCGATGTGAGTGAAATGAGATAGTTGATCGTCTTCATTAAATCTGAGACGAAAGCTTCACGATATCATAAAACTCGGGGGGCGATTTGCACTGGTTAAACCAGTTTTGCTGCCGAAAAACGCGAAGCAGGCCCTGATGTGAGCTTCGTCACGGAGTGAAGAGAGTGAGCAAGCGTCCGTTTCTCTTCGTACTTGTTGATTTCTCGTTCGGTAATCTTCCGGGTGCTAACTTAGTTGGGGGGGGGGGGGGGGGGCCACGCGGCGGCGCGGCAGTCTGCTCGCCTGGCATGTTCGGAAATCCGTGGGCCAGGGGGAGTGTAGCCAGTCTAGGGGGGTGGGGGGTGGGGCAGTCACTTGACATGCGTGAAAAGCTGGAATGTTCGAGTTTACACTGTCTCGCTCGAGAGAGCCCAGGTGAGCAGACTGCCGCGCCGCCGCGTGCCCCCCCCCCCAACTAAGTTAGCACCCTTCTCTTCTTTCTTCTCTCCAAATTCTCCTTGTAGAATGAGGCCGGTTAGAACTTTTTGAGAAGAAAAACAAACCTAAGCGTATAGAGATATTTCAGAGGAAAGGTGAACTTTCCGAAAGCAAATGCGGGTGTGAATATACATCAGCAGGTCCACTGCCAGCAGGTCAAGTGCAGTCCCAAACTGGTGTCAGAGTCCGCGAACCGTTGCGCGAATCGCGCGAAGGATCATAGGAGTTACAAGTGCTGGATCAATACGGCGAGGCTCTCCAATCCCGCCGCCATTTCTGCTTGATGGTGATGGTTGAATGACGACTGTTCTAGATTCACTTGATTCATACTCAGCGTTTCAAATAGTTGCTAACTTAGTTGGGGGGACCACGCGGCGGCGCGGCAGTCTGCTCACCTGGGCTCTCTCGAGCGAGACAGTGTAAACTCGAACATTCCAGCTTTTCACGCATGTCAAGTGACTGCCCCACCCCCACCCCCTAGACTGCCTACACTCCCCCTGGCTCCACGGATTTCCGAAGTACATGCCAGGCGAGCAGACTGCCGCGCCGCCGCGTGGTCCCCCCAACCCACTTAGCACCTTCAAATGTTCAAATGGTGTACTTGCGATTTTTGCGAAATTCGCGACGGTTCGCGGACTCTAGCATCAGCCTCATAGAAGAGGAGGCATCGTACTCTCAAGGCGTTCGGAACCAAGCCAAATATCTCCGTTTTCGTTTTCGCTCAGTCTTGTTCTTACACAAACAAAATGTCTCGCCCACACCAAAGCTTCTTCCTTTGTGAAAAAAGCATTGGTCTTTCTGGGGTGTGAGTCGCTGGGAACAGAAACGATATTTTTGCTTTCACAGCGAAAAAGTTTCGCGCTGTAAAAAGCGAAAAAATCGTTTTTAGCCTAGTGACCAGGACCCAGCTTCTTAAAACAACCTTTCGCGTCGCAATGGTCCATCCTCTTCATTTGATCGGTGTTTCTCTCTCTGTACGTTCACAATGTACGCCTCTTTTTTAGCGCTCTACATTACATGAGTCTGACATCCATCTTTCGTTATGATTAGTCAGCATAAAAAAACCGAGTGCCCACCGACTGAAATAGCAGCAAATATTGATCTCTTATTTGTATTCTATTCCTCCCAAGGGTGTGGTTCACTGGACAGAAAGCGACTTTTTGCGCTATGCAGTGTTTTTGATCGCGGCATAATGCGAAAATTGCCAAAGGTCGCTTTCTGTGCCAGCCACAATACCCCGACTCTCAACGGACCGCTCTATGGGCTTTCAGGATTGACGACGCTGAACTCACGCCCTTGACGCCTCTACGCCTCTCTAGCAGGTCCCTCCTACTCTCAAGGCGGTATTCAATCCTTCCCCCAGGGGATATATCCCCCTCCTCTGATTCAATCCTCTGGGGGGGGGGGGACAAAAAAGGGTTGCGTCATAGGACCTAGCATACCTCTGTGTTTCTACCTGCCAGACAGTTAGAGCAGCGCTACTACCCTCCACTGATGAAGCACTCTTTTCCCTGAGGGGTCGCGCTGCTCTAACTGTCTGGCAGGTAGAAACACAGAGGTATGCTAGGTCCTATGACGCAACCCTTTTTTGTGTAGTCCGTAAACCGGCTTCCAGCCGGTTATTTTCATGACTGTTATTCGGGAAATGTATTCATGAATAAAAGCTGTCACATTTCAGGAGTTGGAAAACAGTTCTCTGACTCGTCGGCCGGCCTCAATCGTGCTATCAAAGCGTCGTGCTATAGACGTGCTTAGTGATGTGCTTTCTCGACTTCAGGGCGGAGATCGCCAAATGTCGAGAATACTTCTTATTGGTCTTACTCTAACTCTTGTCATACTGGATGACTACATTTTGTAGTGCTTCCATTTTATTGCGTGAATTCTCAATCGAACACCTTCCCACATTGTCTGATGACGTAGCGGAGGTAGTCAACCTCATCATCACTTCGGCGTCGGTTACTACTTATGACCAAATTGCTAGACAGCTCCTGCGGTGTGTTCCTCTGACTTATTCTTGTTATCCATTCATTTTGGAAAAAATGCTTTCTAGCTTTTCTTTGCTTACTAGCCCTTGTTCATTTGTGTCATTTTTCAAGAAGTGGCCTACTTATCATTGCGGCGGATCTGACGGCACCCTTTGGAACATAGTGCTACAGCGGTTGCTTTCAGATGCAGGCAAAGAGGCGAAGTGAGAAAACTTATCTTTTCATTGTATGCCTATTATTTTTTATCTTCTCCCGTCTGAGTGGTGAAAAGCTTTGCTGAAAAGAGCCTTCGATGGTTCTTGTACTAATATGGGCACTTCAAGTTTTTCCTGAAACTTTTGCTCATCTCTTAATTTCAGCCTCTTTACAAGAACTTATCTAGACGATAGTTTGCTACTATTTGTTAACAGAGGGTCTCAATACAGGAGCAATATCGGCAGACTGCATTCCTGTGAGGTGAGGTTTCCTCTCGTCACTAAATCTGCACATCGGAGCTTTTACTGTCTATTTGGCAGAGTTTTGCGCTGCGCGGATCGATGTTGCATTCCGCAGTTCATGGATACAGATGCGCAGCTATAGGATTCCACGTTGCACGCGTCATGAGCAGTAAGTTCACTTTATAGTAAATCAAGTTTACTATATCTTCATTTTTTGGTCAACTCTTGTCTTCACCTTCTCTCTCCCGGAGAATAGTGAACCCTCTGAGGCGTACTCTCGCTCGTTTATAGGCAGCGCAATAGCTAATCGCTTTTTAACGCCTATTTTTTTTATAAATAGGTCTAGGTTGTATATAGGTATTGTCGTGATTCTATCTGGAACAGATCACGTGACTACTGTAATTATTTGAAACAAGCCAACCAAATTACTCTAACATAAGACATTTACCGTTTACGTACTCCTGACATTTTGTGTTTAGTAAAAAAAATATGGTTACGTAGGTATCTACCTTTTTTAAAGACGAGAAGTCTGTTGCGATGTTTAGTGACTCCTACTTTTTTAGGAAGGCCTGACTCAACATCATTGTTAGTCTTGGAGCGTTTATTGTGTCAGATGACCACGGATATGGATTCACGTGTCCGTCTATCTGCGATAGAAGGATTATCACTTTTAAGCGGTGTCGAAGATGGTCTCACTATTCATACCTACAATACCGTCAAAAACGTAGGTTTCAGTGATAGTAAAACTTGTTTTCCTCCAATATACATGGATTTGTCGGCCTTCTGAGTGGTAACCGCTGTCTGAGGTTGAAATGCATTACCTGGGGAGCAGAAGCAAATATAAATGAGTTTGCATAGGCCTTGAATAGCGCTTCCGTAAAATAACCTGTTTGAAGCTCGTCTTTCGGCCCTGAGAATCTTTCTTGATCAACCAGCAGAGCGGAGCAAATTGAGCGTTTTTTGGTGTCTATCCTAATAAAGGAAAAGTGCGTGGCAATGAAGCCCGTCGAATTGGTATGGTTTTGATACCCTTCAGTGGAAAAGGAACCTACGCCGTGCTACTATGTTGAAACTTCTCAAGTGTTAAGTATCTGTCCGCTGAACTAGAAGGGCGTTTTAGAGCGACAAATCATGGAAGTCCTTCTAACAAAGTGATGCTCGATTCATTTCATCCCTGAAATCCTCCACCCAGTTGTTGACCAGTTATTAGCGTTCTTGTTGGTATTTAACTTTTTCGAGCCACTGTCGCTGCCATCCATTTTTCGTCATCCTAGGGGATATACATAATACGCTCCTTTTGTGAAATCTTCATAATGTTGAATAATTGGAAGTCATGAAACATCGAGTTTCAGTCGGTCGGAGACTCTCACAGACAAGTACGAATTCTCGCATTACGTATCTTACTGGTTTTTGCGAACAGGATGCCAACACTGTAGGTAGTTTGCTCAATGAGATTCCCTCCGGTTCTAAGTTCAAAGTTAAAATAATGCCGTTTTCATTTTTTAGACCTATTGTTAGTACTTTTTCGAAATCATCCGACGTAAAGTTACAACTATGTGATGACGCATTCTCAATTGTATGTGATGCAGTAAATGACCAGGAGGTGAGGTGGCTTTATCGCTCCGTGTAATTGGCTGCACTCATTTTGAATAACAGGCTTCACGAAGTGTCAATGGATTGCATTGACGACCTCGTCCATTTCAATAGAAATTTTTTTAGGTGATGGTGAGAACGGAAGCAGCTACTATTCTCGGAGAGTTCCAGATCGTGTCGGACTTCTTCTTAGATCAGACCCTTGACAAGAAAATGATGAAAACTGTCCAGGTCTGCCAACTCTAAACATATTCTGCTCATGCGTCATTAATAATTACCCGTTTAGGATTCTAGCGGTAGGGAGCAAGTAAAGAAAGTTCATCAGTCACGGTTCGCTATAACGCAAGGACCTCAACAGTCTGCGAGAGAATCTCGATGGAAGTCTAGTCATTTGGGATACCAACGGCAGAAGGCGTAAGTTGATTTGAATAGGCGGAGTTTCCTTTTCAATATCCTTTTGATGTTTTGCGGTGTATTTTCTGAAATTTGATCGTGCTTCTTTTATAATTCTTTGTTTGAGGAGTACAAGTAGTGAATGGTCATCCGGAAAGGAACTTAATGCTCGTTGTCCTCCAAGCGAGTCTGCTGCAGCTCAGGACGATGAATCGGAGAGCATAGTTCCTCGTGGTGCCTGTGGTGCTTTCGTTTCTGCATTAGAAGATGAATTCATGTGTGAGTTTGGGTTTGTACACTGGTTTTATTCTCAAAGTACAGTATGTTGGTATGCGCTAATTGGCAATAGTATTCCATTAAAATTTGAACAAGTATGGAGGCACACTTTTGGAAAAAATAGTTCGGCTTCAGCATATGTATTCCAACAGGAGTGCCTTTAGAAGTTCGATCGTTTTAAACTATGGTAAAAGATTCGAACTATTGTAATCTGAATTCTCACCCCCCTCTCCTTACGGTCCCACCGAGCGGAAGACAAAGGTGACCTAACGTATGGACAGAATTGCAGGATTATGACTTGCTGCCTTCTTTGTACCTGGAAACTCAGGGTAAACATCGATGTTGGACAAGAACCAGAATGACAGTGTTTTTCCCATATGTATCAGTTCTCAACGGCATGGGGAAGGATACATATTTTTTTGAAAAAAAAAAATTTTGCAAGTTTTAGCAGTTCGACGAGCTGCCGTTTATTCACTCGGCAACCTGGCTTCTACTCGGCCATCTTTCGCGACTACTGCATTGGATCATCTTGCTGATATGTTCAATGATGAGATTGTTGAGGTAATTTGTTCAGCTTTGTCGTTTACCAGGCATTTTATGCAACGGTGAAGATACCTTTTTTTTTCAAGGTTCGACTGGATGCAATTGCAGCGTTAACACCGCTCATTGTTCACGGAGAGATTACAGAAGGAACAACTGGAAACTGTATTTGAAATGCCTTGATGTGAGCTTTGGATCCTTTCCCATTTGGTATTGCTAGATTTACGAGGGCAAAAGCAAAAACTCAGAAGAAAGACGTTGTAAATTTCCGTTTATTGACCTTTTCCTCAAAGGGACAAGTTATACGATGGAGTAGGTCATGAGATTTGCGCATAATGTGGTGAGCATTGTTCCACACTTCCTAAGGACGAGCAAAGGCATGTTGTATTGAGGAACAGCACCTGTTTGGTGATTTATCTACCCTGGTGCTTCTTCAATTTTTTTGTCTCCTTCGATGAAACACTCGAAATCATGGACTCAAAGCACAACCCTAGACGGAATTGGTGAGGTAACAGGGTTGTTGATGATGGCGGGGAACGGACGTGTCTGGACGTGTTTTTTGAACAGAATCGCATCAGTCCGATGCACCTATCATATTTATCTACCTATCGGCTATCTTATCCGCTACGTCGTAATCTACTTTACATGCTAGAGGGTGAAAGGTATCTCGTCCGTAAGTTCACACAAGCCGCTATCCTTTCTTCAATCCCTTTGTGAGGCCGCAGCGTCATTGTCGCCCACTTTCGAGCCGCGACAACAGCACCTCTGTGATACTCGTGTGCAACTCGATCCCATCTACAGATTTATTTTTCGACATGCCTCATCTGGGGTTGTTGCTCTGGAGTAATCATTATTGCTTGCTCTAGCGTAGAATTTCAGGATGCCATTGTAGATTCTCGACAAGCATTACGCGATCTCTTGGCAAAAGCTGAGTTTGCCGATGCCGAATGTATGAGAATTTGTTCAAGAGCGTTATTGAATTGTTTGCATCGCTTCCCCGCTGACAAAAATCAGATATATAGGTACGTTTAGCTCTGTAGGATTTTAGTTTCTGTTCAGTATTTCTCTTTAATCACCTCTGTCACAGATGCTTGAGCGAAGTCGGTGCTCGTCATGCTGTGTTTGTTCATGGAATGGTTCGAGAACTTCTTGGTCTTCATCTTGTGTATGACACGAGAGAACAACAAATAGACGATGTCTTTTGTGAGCCAGTCTGTTGAAAATTATTCTTTCTTAATATTAATTTCTCTTTGGAAACTATGCGAATTTGCACGTAGGCGCACGAGGGAATACATACTCTTTGCGCGCCCACCTCAGATTGGACAAAATCGTTCCTAAAGGCAGTTTTTCTATCGAATCACTGCTTTGAGCATGCTTAGAGGAGATGATTACGGCAAAGCACCGCAGTGCAGAGCGGAGAGCTAGTTGCGCCGCTAGAATTGGTAACCAAGTGACTAAAGAAGCAAAGATGTTGGGGCTAAAAAAGGGTACTTGTAGCGTAGTCAGGCTCCAACTTGAAAAATCGTGACACTCCACTCAGAAACTGCTCCACCCTCTTCAAAATGGTGATTTGGGCGAGCTGCATCGGCTCGAGTGGCATCGCTCTTTTGATTTAAAAAAAGCATTCCAGTTTAAGCGGTTCCATTTATCTCTTAAGTTGTCTGTGTAAGTGGGGTATACGGCCCATACACTAGTCCAGAACCTATCGTAATTGCTTTCTTTACTTGTGACTGCAGTTCAAGCTTTTATTTTGTATGTAGGTGATTATTTGTAAATGTGGTTGGAAGTTTGGAAAAGGAATTTGGATTGGCAAGAATGTTATTGTATAATGAACCTTACTTTGCACTAAAGTTTATAAAAGCCCTGAGTGGTAACTAATTCTGAAACTAATCGTGAAAAACCTCAATTAATATGCTGGCGAGCTAAATGGCACATTCTAGAGTTGTATAATTCAGTTCTGATGAACATTTCTGCAAAGCATGCTAGAAATAGGTATTATGAAGCTTGTCGGTAACTACCAGGACGTCGGCATTGTTTCAAATGCGCAAAGAAAAAAGTTTGGTTTAGAACAAAATGGGGTGACATTGTCGCCAAGAAGGTAATTGTTTGGATTTGGCTCCCTGCTGATATTGCTGTTTGATTCTCTGTTCTGTTATACGTTTTCTGTAATTCTCATTCCTTTACTTGTCAAAAAATGGTTTTTTCACCGTTTTATTTCCAGATATCGCAAAACTTATACTGGTGTTGAATGCGGCGGCCAATTACGAGCCTATTGTTTCTCTTCTGCCTGAGTGTGTTTTAAAGCACTACCGATTTCTTCGCGCAGCTGCACCCGATCTAGGTAGGCGCCTATAAAGGTTAGATAGAATGAGGTTTTCGATAGCTGCACAGTTACATTTTTCGTTTGTGATAATCTGAACAGGGCTATGAAGGTTCTGGAAATCCAGTGCTGGCCTGCCCCAACATCTTCGTCTCCCTCGAAGGAACTTTGCAAGCAGTACATCAGATATATTTGGTGAATGCTTATGAAAGGTTACAGGAAGTAATCCGTGAACCAACCTTGGCTGATAGAAATGCTCTTCGACGACTCATTGTCGAGTAAGTGCAATTGCGATTCTCTGTGCGACCAGGTGCTTGAAATTCCTAACTTTTAAGATGCAATAATGCTAGTTAGTGCGTTCAAACGAGTCATAGCCCGTGCTGGCCGTTTAATTGCGAGTCTTATGTGAAATTAAGTTCTGCTTTAGAATCACTCCCCTAATGTTGTGGCTTCGGAGCGGGAGATATTACGGATGCCATCCAACCTTGTACTCAAGTTGAGGCTTTCAAACCGGTTTCAGATACGCCAATAAGTAGAATGATTGTAAATCCAGATTCGCCCTTAATGTGTCTGTTGATTTTCTGTAGTGACTGGCGGGTTGTCAGTGGATATCCATCGGGTGCCCTGATCCGTTCGACTTGATTATAGGTCTCTGACTTGTATTTAAAAATGCGAGTAGCTTGCCTAAAGGCAACGTCTACCGTTTTTGTGTGAACTGCTTAAGAGGGATTAGAAAACTCAGATTGAATTCGAGCGATCTAGTGTTCTTACGATCAGGAATGCATGTTACTTCTTCATACTCCGTGTGGCATGCAGTTTCCTCAAACGAATCACACTTCTCTGGCACATTGAATCTTAACTGACTGCTCGCGCCTCATCAGAACGCCGGCACCTTCAAGGCGTAGAACACCAAAACAGATCGTCTTTTCGCGCAGTTCACTACCTACTTAGTCGCCCTGTAACCTTGCATCCGGGAAATCGTCTGCCTGCGCACACTCCAGCTTCAGTCAGTCTTTAACCAAGGACTAGCAATCGGCAGATGTTGTTGTAATTCCAACCTAATTGAACCTAATCATTTCAAGATGAATGGAACGAAATATCAACAGTAAGAGCGAAAATGTGTAATACGGAAGGTATCGCCTATCACGAGAACGTGAAGTGGTTCTCACTTTCACGAGTACGTATTGAAGGTTTAGGTCCGACGTAGTCAAACTTGAGCCGTTACTTTTGACATGCACGCAGGTTGGATGTTCTTTTTTTTTCGCGTGGTTAAGGCCCTAGCCGATTTTGGTGGTTGAGGGTGTTTTTGTCTTATGAATCCGTCCAAGTTCCTCTTAGCTTCCACCTCCACCACTCAAAAAATTTCTTGGCTAGATAAATACATATTATTCAATTGCATGGATCAATACTTTAGTTCGTTATCCTCCCATATTCGATAGGAGCCTATACTCTTTCTTTGAAAAACACTGCTCTTTCTCTAGTACTGGCTTACACTTATTTCTGCAGTACCGTTTTACATTTACCTCACATTAATTTTTAGGAGTTGGTTCGAATACGTTGCGCAGAGCATCAGTTTGCGGGGCTCCCACCGGAAATGCTCTCATTCTTAATCGAAGCAGGAATGTTCCTGTCATTACTGGAACAGCTTGTGGAGATGACTCTCAATCCTGAACGTTATGCTAAATTGTTTTGAACATTCGCGCTGTCATTGAGGAAGCAGAGAAGTGCGTCAACTCCACTTTATTTTAAATGGAAAGTTTCGAAAGAAGATGTTTTTCAGTCGATGGGCTGTAAATGGAGAACCTTGCGAACAGGCTATAGCTTTGATATCTGCTATTTTGGATCCTTTGGAACGTGTCAGCAGCAGAGACTAAAAAGATTCTCTCTGTTGGTACATTCGGTCATTTGTTGGTAACGCACGCACCGTTTCTACCCAGTTCCTTCCCTGACGTGGGGAAGATTCGATCGAAATGGGCTCAGGTACGCACAGATTTCGTTTATTTCTGATAATCTTAGTCAAACTCACGACATTTAATGCTCCATTATGCAGTAACCAAATCTTTTCATGTTGCAGATTTCTGAACCAAATCGAGATGTTGCAATTGAGAAGCCAATTTGTTTCGTTGCTGGTTTACCTTGCGCTGTAAAATTTGTTGCTTCCCTTCACAACCTTTCCCAAAGCGACCTACGCAATCTACGGGTACAGGTACGCTTCACATCTGCATATCGTGTTATGTGAAAATGCACATTCCTTGTTAGTCCTACTCTCCTTTTGAGAAATGCATTACCAGAGCCGCCCAATTCATAGATTTTTAACGTATCATGCTTTTTGTGATGCTTATGGGGCGCGTACGTTCAATACAGGGTATTTCAGAGTAGTAGGCACTTATCTACCTGACGTTTTACAATACAACTGAGAGTGCGCCACGATTACTCAAACTAATTCAAAAACAAAGAAAAAAGCGCTGTTTTCGATGAAGTGCATCACAATTGTCTTGTGTCCTACCTACTACAAAGTGCTTCGTCTGTCGTATGTTCGTCGTTCTGTATGTCTGTCACGAAATTCACTGGAGTCATAGCTCCTGGAGTCACGTCTAGAGTGTGGGGGGGGTGTGATTCACTAGGACAAAAGCGTCTTTTTCGCGTTTCGCAGCGCGAATATTTTTCGCCGCAGCAAACTCAGGTCCACCGCCGATTATGAGTGGACCTGGAGTTCCTACAGCGAAAATTTTCCGCGCGCGAAACGCGAAAGTCGCTTTCTGTCCTAGTGAACTGCACTTTGTGGGATGGGTAGGCCATATCTCGAGAAGTACAAAACATAGAGTCCCCACCCACGGTGGGCGTGACGTGCATCGAAATGAACTGGATGACCAAGATTTTAAATTAGATTCCAAAACTGGTTCAGAGCCATGGGAAAACTGGGTAAAGGTGTGCTTGAACTTAAGCCGGATGAGTTTGAGAGACGCACCTCCAGTAAGCGGGTTATTGTTCCATAAAAAAGTGCTAATGAAGAAATTAGTAAACATTTGAGAAAGCTACAAAAAAGTAGGTGTAGGAAAGCAGTGTCCAAGGTGTTCCTAGCTTGAGTGGGCGCAGGCCGACTTCCCAGAGCGTACCCTGAAGTGCACAGTGTTTCCTACAAACTTAATAATTCGGTTCCGAGAATTCTTGGAGTGGGGAAAACGGTGGATAAAGATCAGAGGAGGAAGGGAGGCTAAATGATAATGGTTGGCATGGCTTGCACAAAGGTGGATGGAGTTTGTCACTAAACCTATAGCTGGGTTCCAAGAAGTCTTGGAAACAGGAAAAAGTGCATGGAGGTCAGCGGTGATGACAAGGTTATCTGCTGTTGTTGGTCGGGACATACACCGAAGAAACCGAAGACGGCGGAGTATCCACGAAACATTGTAAATCCGTTACAAGAAGTCAGGGAGACTGGGGAAAAAGTGCGTCGAGGTTGGCGATAGAAGAGATCGACAGTCATTTTTGGAAGTCAACCTCTATGGGTGGGCGAGGCCTTCACCAAAGTGAGGCGCGGATTGCCCCCAGCTTGCAGTATCCAATTCGGAGACAGTTCAGAGACCGGGAAATCAGGAGAGGTTGGCGAGGAAGCACAAGGGCCCCGGTGGGAGCATGCACCCGAAATGGGCGAAAGTTTGGGCCCTTTATAATGTCTAGAGACGAGTCCGGAGACCAGGGAAAAGCTACATGTTGAAGAAGGAGGGGACGTCCAAAAGCCATCGGTGAGTATGGACAAGCGGATAGAACCTAGCTCAGAAGTCGGATATTCGTAGTGCATCGGGCCAAATTTGAGAACTCATGCTGCACCATTCCATATCGCCGCTGAACTGTGTTGTGCGCGCAACAGCGTGCGACGCCAATTGGTATATTATAATTCTTTGGGATACATGCAATAATGTTTTACAGGTCGACTATCCTAATAACACACGTGGCTTTTTCCGACCTCTGACCACCGATATTTCAAAGGAAGGGGACCGTGTGTCATCTTTGGTAATTCAATCAATTAGCTACATTACTTTCACTGGCCTTGCATTGCTTATTTCACAGGTGCTGATCTCGTCCTCAGAAGCATGGAGTGATGCAGCTGATGTGACCTTAACTCTGGTTCTGCTCTCGGATTCATCCCAGAAGGCTGTTTCCGGTAAGATTTCACTAGGTGTTGT